CATTCCCCCAGGTCCCAGTCCAGCTACGTTAGCACCTCCACCTTCAATCAATATATCACTTGATTTGCTTTAGCCATGCCTCTCAACTTCACAGCACCGAAACCAGAACATGGCAGCAGTAGTGGCCCTTTGTCAACACTGTATCCCATAACTCTGAAGGTAAATCAAGGACCAACAACAACATCACGTATTTTCCACTATTCTTACTGCATAAACATTAGTTTATCTCTTTTGTGTGTCTCTTTTCTCAGTTCGAAGAGATCGTATACAAGGTCAAGTTGGAGCAGAAAGGATCGTGCTGGGGTGGGTGGATTAACCGAGAAAAGACCATACTCAATTGTATCTCGGGCGTTGTTTGTCCAGGAGAAATACTAGCAATGTTAGGCCCATCGGGAAGTGGTAAAACCACCCTCCTTACGGCTCTTGGAGGCCGCCTCACCGGCGAGCTATCCGGAAAGATAACATACAATGGCCAGCCTTTTTGTGGTGCCATAAAGCGAAGAGTAGGATTCGTGGCTCAGGATGATGTTTTATACCCTCATCTGACAGTGACCGAGACCCTTCTATTCACTGCACTGCTGAGGCTACCTGACAGCGTGAACCGAGACGAGAAAGTCCGATATGTTGACGGAGTTATCGCCGAGCTGGGACTCACGAGGTGCCAGAATAGCATGATCGGGGGGCCACTTTTTAGAGGAATATCTGGAGGGGAAAAGAAGAGAGTTAGCATAGGCCAGGAAATGTTAATCAACCCGAGCTTACTTTTGCTAGATGAGCCCACCTCTGGTTTGGACTCGACCACGGCACAACGGATCATGATCACAATCAAACGCCTGGCTAGTGGGGGCAGAACTGTTGTCACTACCATTCATCAGCCCTCTAGTCAACTGTATCACATGTTCGACAAGGTTGTTTTGCTCTCCGAGGGCTGCCCCATCTACTACGGTTTGGCATCGGCTGCCCTGGAATATTTTTGCTCCATTGGTTTTTCAACATCCATGACTGTAAATCCAGCTGATCTCTTACTTGACCTTGCTAATGGTAATTCTTCAGCTCTGCTTCATTGTATATTGGAGATTAGGCAATGAATTCTTACTTCCTGAACATGTTCAATGCAGGAATTGGACCAGATTTCGCACATTCAGTGGAGCAAGTTGACAGTACAGAACAAGAACAGAAATCTGTGAAGGATGCTCTTGTTTATGCCTACGAGAAAAATATTTCTGCAAGACTGAAAGTCGAGTTTTGCAATTCAGATGTCAATAGCTGCATGAGTACAAAAGAAGCTTCTGCAAGTAATTTTCTCTGAAATCCATCAAATTTCCTTGATTACTCTTTAGTTTAGAGCTGAAATGAAGTAGTAATTTTTCATGCATTAAATAATGCAGGGAATGACAAATCAGAACAGTGGTGCACAAGTTGGTGGCATCAGTTCAAGGTGCTGCTCCAAAGAGGGGTTAGAGAAAGACGGTACGAAGCCTTCAACAGGCTTCGAATTTTCCAAGTCATCAGTGTTGCCGTACTCGGTGGACTCCTATGGTGGCACACCCGGCTTCTCACATCGCAGACCGCGTAAGACCTCGTCTTTGATAACCAATGCAGTAATTAAGTAGCAATGTGACAATGATGCTAAATAAATGTTTTTTTACATCTTCTAAAACAGATTGCACTTCTGTTTTTCTTCTCCGTATTCTGGGGATTCTATCCACTCTACAATGCTGTATTCACATTTCCTCAAGAAAGAAGAATGCTAATCAAGGAACACTCTTCTGGGATGTACCGCCTTTCGTCTTACTTCCTCGCTAGAACATTCGGCGATCTACCGCTGGAGCTCGCACTCCCAATAGCCTTCGTGTTCATAGTCTATTGGATGGGAGGTCTTAAACCTGACCCTGTTACCTTCATCCTATCTTTGCTGGTGGTGCTTTACAATGTGCTTGTCTCTCAAAGCCTGGGACTAGCCATCGGGGCTATTCTCATGGATGTTAAACAAGCCACTACATTAGCTTCAGTAACAACGCTTGTGTTCCTTATAGCCGGAGGATACTATGTTCAACAAATCCCGGCCTTCATAGTGTGGCTAAAGTACCTGAGCTATAGCTACTATTGCTACAAGCTTCTGCTTGGAGTTCAGTACAAGGAGGATGAGTATTACGAGTGCTCAAAGGGCGTATCGTGTAGGGTTGGGGATCTTCCGGCCATCAAATCTGTGGGTCTGAATAATTTGTGGATAGATGTGTGCATTATGGCACTCATGCTGGTCGGATATCGACTCATCGCTTATATGGCTCTTCATCGAGTGCGGTTGAGGTAGATTGAGATTTCGGACATGACTGTTGCAAGGAGTTTCCCAAAAGTTGGTATACTAATGACTCAGAAGTTGTAATTTGAGGTTGATATCGAACGTATTTTAAACAGATGGAATGTTGTGAAAACACATGCAGACCACAATTGCAGTAAAGAAAACAGACCCTATTACTTTAATTTTACTAGGTTGCTATTAATGAATCATATTTGATACATAATATATTTGTATCTGAAAGACATTATTGGTTCGGTAATATATATATATAGCCCCCTAAAGTTTGTTGAGTTCACTTTCCTTGACAAAAAGTCCATGGAAGCCATAGGGAACGCGCTGTGGCAGCTTCACGGTAGCCACAATGTCAAGATCCGGCTACTTTGCATCCATCACCAAAAACCTCAATTCTCCGGTGTTCTCATTATGAACATACGTCAACAGATACCGGTCATCCTCTAAATTCTCGGCTTCCTTAGCAACAAAGAAGGGCACCCCACCGTAACATCCAGGCCCGTACATCCTGCTTGCCTCCGTACATTCATGGGACTCTCCTTTTGAACAAATCTAGCCTCACTACTCCCGACATTTTTGGCAGTGGCTCACTAACACCAGAGTATACATACATGTTCTTTTTTGCCAAGTAAGAATGGTTTATCACTGCCAATTCCAGTTTCCTCGAAGATATCGGTTGCCTTGTTACCAGCCCTGTGTGTAGGTCGATTCTAACTTTCTCCACCCTGCTGCACACAAGGTCGAATCTCTCGAATGCCTGCTGTATTGATGTTACACTCGGTGCTAACATAACTATTGCATTCCCATCGTCCTCCTCCCAAGTATTCACGAAATGCACAAGCATTCACGAAATGCACAGGGTTGAACCCTGGCACGTCGAACCATCTCATTTCCGACTCGTTTTTGGCTTATCTAGGGATGACTCCGACTCTTGCCACTTTGGTCGGATTTGAAAAAATAGGATTCCCTCCTTGGAAAATCATTTCTTTAGGCTTTTTCATTCTCATTTCTATGTCAGAAAACAAGGCGTAATTCTTCGTTATTGCAAAATCATGGAAGAAAGACGGATGGGGCATAGACATAATGTGCACATCCGGATGTTTATTTCCTTTTGCATCGAAGTAAAAGTACGTTAGAAATGGATGAATTGGACTGAACAGGAAAGCGAAAGCCTCGCTGCTATCGGGGTCTACCTTGGGGGTGAGCGGTCATGTTAGTTAACAGTGTTCCACCAAAATCATGGCGTCCCAATGTCTCTATATCACCATCGGAGGTCAAGCGTAATGCGTATGGTAAATCACACTCGTGGTGCGCGTATAGACGGTCTCCAAACAAGGCCAAGCTAGTGTTAGCAACACCAATGCCATTTGCAGGATCGTAGTGACCGAATATAATTCTAGCTGCCAAAAGAAAAGCACGAGCAATGCAAGAGGGCAGGCTGGTGAAGCTGGAAAAACAAATTGGTAACAACAGGAGACCCCAAATTTTGCTCAGTGGTATATTTGTGTGTCTTGACATAACGGCTGCAAAGAGTGGCTCTGCCTTGGGAAATTCTAAGGGAGTGAAGCATGCCATCACCATCAACCAGGTGGTAGGAGCCCCGAGGGAAGTACTGCGGGTTGGGGCCATTGCGTATGTACGCACCGTCTAGGCATGAAGGGAGGGCTCCTTGTATCACCTAACACTCTGTTGGAGGGAGCTCATTAACAGGTGCAAAGTTTCCCAACAGCATTAGCCTCGGATCAACCGCAGGGCGGGGAGGGAGGTCTATAAAGTTGTGGATAATATCGTCGAGTGTATCGAATATACTTGCGCGTAGACTTTGGGTATTAAAAGCTTGAGACTTTGTTTCATTAGGCTTGGTGCTAAGGGAAGGTCGTAATGATTGCATTGAAATCGGCCTAGAGACAAATTTTGGTTGAAAGCAGGAGAGAGCGTTCATCACACCCAAAGCCCAAAGTTTTTGTTGATTTTGACAAGGAGAGCGGGAAATCTCTCTCTCTATCTCTCCCTCTCCCCCTCCCCCTCCCCCTCCCTTATAATGGTTAACCAATAAATTAACAGAAGTTTATCATTTTAATTCAAACTTCATGAGTTTAAAATTATCAAGCTCAGTTTAAACTCGAAATAAATAATTAAAATTATACTTAAATAGCCTTAAGTTTAAAATTTTTAAATTTTACTTGAAATAAAAAATTAAGACTTAACTTGAACTCGAATCCAAACCTAAATCTAAAGTACATAAGTTTTTATACTATATTTTTAAAAAAATAACATATAAATATTAATATTATTCTTAATTTAATTTTAAAAATTTAAATTTTAATATATTATTTTTTTAAATTACTCATGAGTTTTTGAATCAAATATCAAATTACTTATTTTAACTCGTTAAAAATTTAAATAAAATTTAAATTCGAGTTCAATTAACTTAAATATTCATTGAGTCATCTCGAACAACTCGTATTTTATCTCGCCTCGAACTATACTGTATTTTCTCCATGCCCTCAAGCTAACGTCTCCACTAAACCCCCACAGAAAAGATATTTTTACGCTTATGTGTCGGATTCGGAAAGGAACGTAAGAATAGAATCGGATATATTCGACCCGGAACCGGTCCATCGTGTACATGCTTGGTCGCACGTGCAAGCTGTCAGCCTACCTTCGTATCTAACCAATCCATCCATCTGCCAGACATTGTTCGACCTTTTCAAACAATATATTAAAAAAATCGATTCCATTGTCGGCGGCGAATTAATCGTCCGATCACCTTCCGATCTGATCGATGACCTCTTCAGACGAAGAAGATGAGTTATTGGCGATCTTTCTCGAATCTGAACTCTCCGATGAGGTTCTCTTCCCTACCCTCTTTCTTTTCTTTACCGATAATAATTTTATGCTTCTCTCATGAAATTGAATTGGTTCCAATTTTAGGAGGAGCCAGAACCCAAGCGGTTGCGCGTTGTTAAGGGAGATGAGGAAGAGGAAAAAGAGCGTGAAGGAGACGGGGATTCTTCTTCGAATATGAATCCGAACCCTGGCCAAGTGAAGAACACCAATAATAGGGAGTGTTCCTAGGGGGATTGAGAGTGGTACTTTCAGCAAAATTCCACCCGAGTTGTTTACTCATATCCTCAAATTTCTCTCATCCGAGGTCCTTTTTCTGTCCTGTTTGACTCTCTTTTCCCCCTATAAAAAAGTATCACTTTTTCATATTGTGTTTGTTATGTATGAATTTACAGGATCTTGTATCTTGCTCGCTGGTGTGCAGTTTTCTGAATTTTGCGGCATCTGATGAATCCTTATGGCGTCGCCTGTGAGTGTTTTATTGCATTTGATTTCTGATATTCAAACTTCCAAGTCTCTTCCTTTCTGCCTTTTAGATTTTAAATTTTGTTGATTGTTGCTACTCCTTGGCCAACTTATCTATTAATGCATAATTAAAGTCTTCCTCTGTAAGATAAATGGAATTTTAGTGATTGAAGGTTCGTTTCCTCTTCCTTTTAGTGTTCAAGTGATGTCTAGGTTACGAATTCATTGGATTGTTTTAGTTAATTTTGCAGATATATATTAATTATTGTTTTTGTGAAGGTTTAAAGGTGTGCTTTTATCACACTTCAACTTATCTATATGTATTTGTATTCAATCCCGACCCTTTCAGTTGGTAAATCCTTGCTTTGCTACTTGAAACAAAAAAATTTTAACTTGTCCAGGTATTGTATGCGATGGGGTTTGTTGCCTCCAACAAAAATGCGGGAATGTCCTTGGAAGAAGCTTTATATATTCAGGTACTTTTGGTTTATGCTTCTCAATTGAGGATTCTTTTATATTTTAAATTTTCATTTTTTTTTAACACCTTGCATATCTATCTTGTGTAAAGGATCTTTATGATCAGTTAGCTGGCATTCAGCCTCCCTTGCATACTTATTTTACCTTTGCTCATGACTAGTAAATAGTATGCCACTGTTTGAATTTATTTCGTGAGAGGGCATAATATGCATCTGTGGCAGCTATATGTATCGTATTAGAATATGAATAGAAAAACTGGTGTCTTCTTTCTAGTGTCAGCTTTTAGCATAATGTTCTTTATTGAGATTTTCTGTGTACTTCTTGTGGTTAAGTCAGCTGGTCTGCATGCTTCTGCTTTTCCCTATAACATTATCAACTTTATGGTAAAACATATTTTTCTTTCACAGCGCGATGAAGAGGACATGAGTGAACTTGTTAGGAACTGTCCATCTGAATTTAAAGAGTACTACATTCAAATGCAAGCAGCTAAAAGAAGTCAAGCACCTCTTCCTTCTCAGGTAACGAGGTTTTACTGATTTTTGATCCTTTAAAAGAGGAAAAGATGTTTTAGTTGCTATGCAGTGATGATACGGTAGAGATAGCATGTCATGGTGTCCTAATTTTCACAAAAATGTGTTTTGAGTGATGGATATTCCATTTAGTTCCATTTCTGTCAAAAGCTATACTGACATGCATGGTAGCAGGAAATTTTCATTTTGAATGCAACGGCTTGCTTGAATAGAAACATGTTTTTTGTATCCTGTTTCCTTGACATACTGAAAGATTAAGTATTGATTCAGTCTCTAGAGGCATGCATGAAGATGTTCAATTCGCTTTTCCACTCATGAACCGGAGCTGAAATGTGTCCTTTTGGCTGTTTTCTTCTCTCTCTTTCTCCTGTTTGTGTTTGACTGTTTGCATGTGCATGTGAAGGTGAAGGATGACTCAATAATTCTCGACAAGACTGTTGCTGATCAAGTATCTATGTGGAAAAGTAGTCGGGGCCTGGCTGATAAGGTGGTCACTGACCATGCTTGTTCAGGAGAAACATGTACCTACTACCAAATTGGGGATGTATTTGTTTGTGAGAAGACTGGGCAGGTTCATGGTAAGAAACGTTTTCATCTGCTTCCAAATTATCATAGGTTATGAATTTATGTTTTTTTGTTTATGTTCTTTCTTGTCTCAGTATGTGATGATACTTGTAGAGAAGTCATTTTGGATCCCAACAATGAGCTTTTGGTCTGCACAATTTCAGGCCACTGTTTTGATAGGTTACTGTCTCCATCCGAAATGGAATTGGATAGTGTGAGTAGAAATTCTCTTAACTATTTGTTTTTCTTGCAACATTAAAATTCTTAAGCTATTTATTCATACATTTTCCAACACCCTTGCGTGCCATGTCAAAAAAACCTGCAGGAACAGCAGCAAGCTAGTGGCACCGATGAAGTGGAACCATTTATGGGATCTGGCCGCTTTGGTAATAACTCATTCATGTAATCCCTGATTTTGTTTGCATCTGCATGTATCTCATTTTCATTTAATGATGCCATGACAGCAAGGGCTTACTTATTGGGATACAACTGCGAGGATGAAAAAGAGCTGGAAGCTGCTTTGAGGTTTTGTTGATCCAAATCTTTGATACTTTTCTTTTAGGTGGGTTTTAGTAAATGTCTTGGTTTGACATTGATATTATGGATGTTTTAAGTTGCACAAGATAGATAATTAGGTGGTAATGTATTTACCTAATATTATGTTGAAATCTAGAGTCCCGGACTCTATCATTTATTGCATCACGGCACATGAAAACATGGGTGATGATGGAGATAGAAACGCAATTACTGGTTTATGGCAGAGCTTTAAAATAATAATTAACGATTCGTAGTCCCTGGAAAAGTTGCAATCCACCGAAGGATGCTACTGTTGAAAAGAAACAACAGGGCTTCAAAGGTTCCGTTGAACTTGAAAATTAACCCATCCCAAATAGTATGAACCTTTGGGCATTGATTATGATTCTCGAGGAAGGGCGTACTATTCAGATGACATTTAGGCGAGTTGATATTCTGAGTATCAAAACAATGATCTTACCGTAATATCCATAATGTTCTTATTCTATTACTAAAACATCGCTTTCTCTATGACTATGAGTGAGTGAACATTTTTTTAAGCATACGAATTACAAGGTACTGCTTGTAGGAAATGATCTTCCAAACCACCAAGAGCTCTTTGCAGGAACTTCTCTATGATTCTAACAAACTAGCCGACCTTTTCCTCCTGGGGCAAGTGGCTGCAATTCTTAATTAGTTCAAGCTTCGAATGAGGGATGGTTCGTGACAGTCTCAGCATTCCGAGAAGGAACAATTCGATCGGTGTAACCCTTGACAATCAAAACTATGTTTCATTGAGACAATAAAGAGTGTAACCATTACATTCTGCCTATTCATATCAACAATAAAGCTACATAGCAGACTAAAGAAGTACAATCAGCAGTGTATAATCATTTGCCAATAAGTTGAGGATCTAAGTGATACAAAAGAACTAGGCCAAATAGGGCTAAAGTGACAAAAGAGATAAATATTAGGACTAAATTTATCATTATTTCAAAAGTAATATCATGTTATTGAATTTAGTCAAATCAATGATGATTTGAAGATATTCAAACATGTTAAGCTCTTATTTGAGTAAATTTGAGAACGTTAGATCCCTTATTCGATCAAATCACATATAATTTCCACCATTTTAATAAAATAAAAGAAAAACACTAATGTTGCTAGTGAGAATAGGTCAGAATTGAAAATGACCTAGTAATATTTTCCACCAATGATATTTTTCGCTTGTGGAAGTTACTCCAAACTGATTATGAAATAGGATTTCAAAAAGAGATTATTAGTTTAATAACGAACTTGTCTACCAGCAAACAGCTCTAGAGGGTATGTATGTGTTGTTATTTTAGTGTACCAAATAATTCCTTTAGTAACTCGAGTCCTCAAAAAGAGTTAAATACAAATTCTACTTTATCAAAGCTATAGAGCTACATAACTTGGTTGATTGCCAAAGGCCAAATGCAAATAAAAAAGGGACTTTCCATATTCATGGTAAAACTGAAGCTGAAATTGAAGAATAAGCAGCTTCAATATTAATAAGTAGACTGTAAGCAGGCAGCTTCTTCAAATTTTTGCGTTGAACTGTTCGCCTCAGCTCCACGGCATCTTGCCATCCTCCTGCACTAACATACAGGTTGGCCAGGGCAATATAGTAGCCAACAACATTTTCAGGCTCCATTCCGAAAATATGATGTGCAACTTTTCTTCCAATCTCCATATTTCCATGATAATTACAAGCACTTAATAAGGCTCCCCAAATGCCGGCTTCAACCTCTCCCGGTATCTGCTTTATGAACTCGTAGGCTTCTTGGAGTTTTCCGGCTCTGCCGAGCATATCAACAACGCACACATGGTGCTCTGTTACTGCTTCTACTCCGTATTCACCCAGCATAACTCTGTAATATGAAAGCCCTTCGTTCACAAGCCCTGAATGGCTGCAAGCTGATAAAAGGCTAATGAAACTGCTTTTCGATGGTCTTATTCCGAATTCGCACATTTTATGGAACAGTTGAATTGCCATTTTGCCATTACCATGGTATCCATAAGCTGAAATCATAGAATTCCAAACTGCAATGGATTTGTCCTTTGACTTTGTAAATATCTGCCAGCTTATGTCCAGCCTTCCACAATTGCTATACATATCCACAAGGGCTGCAGTTATGAATGAGTTCTCAGAAACCCCAAACCGTAATACTTGGCCGTGGATTTGTCTTCCCTGCTTTGAAAGTCCAAGCTGATTGCAAGCCGAGAGAAGGGCGACTATGGTGATTTCGTTAGGCTCAAATTCAAGAGACTGAAATAGTTCTAGTGCACTTCTCCCTTCCTTATTCTGAGAAAAAGCAGAGATCATGCAGTTCCATGAGCACAAGTTGCGACTTGAACAGAAATCAAACACTGATTTTGCACTCTTAGTGTGACCGCATCTTCCATACATAGTGATTAATGCATTCTGCACACGAGTTTCCGATCCCACGAAAGTTTTAACAGCAAGGCCATGCAGGGATTTTCCTACATGAATCAACGCAAGATTTCCATGAGCTGATATAACATTCACAAGGGTGATCGAGTCTCGTATAACATTTATTTCCTGCCTCATCCAATTGAACGCTTCTAAAGCTTCTCGAAAATGACCATTCCTTGTACAACCAGCAATTATAGTGTTCCAACAAGTAATGTCCTTTTCAGCATGAATTCCCAATAGCAACATAAAAGCAGCAGGTAAGTCCCCAGAATTAACATACATGTGCATGAGGGAATTAACTATAAGAATATTGGTAGAAAGCCCTGCCTTTAGCCCCCAGCAATGAATTGATTTACCAAACTGAAGAGAATCTGGGGAAATGCAAGACGAAATCACAGCCAGTACAGTTGAAACACTCAACTGTGAACATTGATGGGTCAGTTTCTTAAATAAACTTCGAGCTTCTTGTGAATACCCATTTCGGCTGTAGCAAGAGATCATTGCATTCCATGAGACCAAGTCTCTTCTGGGGATAGTATTAAATAAAAACTCAGCCTTGACTACACAATCGCATTTTGAGTACATGTCCAAAAGGCTATTAATCACCCATACATCTGATATCATATGTTTACGAATCGCAAATCCGTGAACGGTCTTCCCTTCTCTTAATAGCATCCCCTCTGCACAAAGTGAAATTATGGTAAATAAAGTCGCTACATCATGCCGAGCATAATCAGTTAGTTGCATTTTGTAAAGCATATCAAACGTTTCGACAACCCTTCCGTTTAAGGCAAGCTCTCGGATCATTGTATTCCATGATATGACATCCCTAAACACTATTTCTTCAAACACTGACTTTGAAGCTTCTATATCCTTATACTCTGAATATAATGAAATCAGAGAGTTGGACCACGAGATATTGAAGTTGTACCCCTGTTTTATTCCCCACGCGTGAATAGCTTGTCCAGAACTTAACTCACCGAAACCAGCAGATGCTGAGATAGCACATGATAAACCCACACTATCAACTCTAATTCCAAAATAAATCATCTCTCTGAAACACCAGAAGGACTTCTCTGGATGACCATTATAAAGAAAACTATTTACCATTGAATTCCAAGAAATAACATCTCGACATTCCATCCATGTAAACATAGACTCAGAAGAGGTTAAGTCGCCACATTTAGCAAACATGTCTAGTAGAGCATTACATAAATTACAATCCCAAAGCATACCCACTTTAATGCTCAAACAGTGAACACTCTTCCCATGTTTCAAGTACTTCATATGAGATAAAGCCGACACAATAAGCAACAAAGTTGTGGAATCAAAAGCACCATCCACTTCAATAATTCCAACGAAAAACTGCATGGCAACAGCGTAACACTTATTTTCAACTGCGGCATTGATTACAGCATTCCAGAGGATCACATCTTTGTCAGAAAATTCATCAAACAAAGCCAAAGATGAGTTCAAACCTTTGGCTCTGGAATATGCAGTGAGGAGAGAGGTGCAAACCGGCAAGTGAGCAAGAGCACCAACCTTGATTGCTAAGCAATGGGCGATTGTGGCTGTTAGTAGGTTGGGCCTTGCCATTGAGGACTTAAGGAGATTAATGACATCGTAGAATCGGGTATACAGCTGGTGTGGGTCTCTTTGGGACATTTTGTCAAATGGGTGAAGGGCAGTCGAAAACGGAACGTTTGACAATAGACCATACGATTCGATAAACAAGATAGGATGTTTGCGCTTGCAGCCTACAATAATTCTATTTGAGAAATATTGATTCAGAGGCAACGGTGCTGAAGAAAAGGATCCGGTTAGCCTAATCAAGTCTCTTGCGAAGTTGGCTTTCGATGACTTAACTGCCCAACAACTACCCATCCAAGAGATTAATAATCCATACGCTCCTCTGCTGTCTTAACTGGGTGTAAATATTCATCTGCTATCTTCTGTAATATTAATTGATGGACACCGGTGGAACTTTTCTTTCTTTTGTTGTTACTAACAAAGACAATGGCTTCCGAGCTGTAGTTCCAGCCATTACCATGAATCCAAAGTCCTGTTAAAGGAAAGTAGTAAGCTGACTTTTTTTTTTTTTTTGCTTTGTTTTTCTTTTTATTTGAACGAAATACAACTCCAAAGGCTGCTTTTAGAAAATTTATCAATGGGGTGAAAAATACATCAGCCCTTCACTACTTCAAATGTCCGACTCGGGACGTCCGAGCCCGAACACCAACACTAATACAGCCTCGTCCCGCCATCAATCTCTATGACTACAACATTCTTGGTTCTTGACGACGTGTTGGGAACGGTAGCAGAATCGAACATATCTGTCTCAGCCTATCTCTTTTTCAATTTACCGAGACCAAAGCTCGGCAGCATTTTGATAAGGGTTCGAAGAGACTGCTTCAGAAAGGCGGATGATCGTCCTCCGGGATTTTAGGTCTCGTCCCAATACATGTCATAGTATATGTGTCCAGGAATGTGGTTGTCAACACGGCACCATATACCTACATACTGCTTTACACGTTCCCGGAATTTCTCCTCAGTCGTCTGAGTGAAAATGTAACCACATCATTTAACCATATTTGTACAACATAACTAAGACTTATGAAGCAGAAAAATTGCAGCTTGATGAAGAGAATTGGATGACTTTAACATCCTTGAACGAAGAAAAACCGTCTTCAACTGTAATTTAGAACTAGAATTCGACGAGGTCAATACCGAACCAACAATGCTAACATCTGATTTTTATTAAGACTGCATAATAGTGTAATAATCATTTGGTCACGTAAGATAACATACAATCCAGCAAATTTTCCAGAAGGAGCTCAATTACAACTTTTGCTACTCATTCACCAAACCAAACTCAGAGTAGTGCTTAACTGAATGAAAAGTTTAATCAACGAAACGCTTACTTCTGTTACTTGGACTCAATAATTTGTGTGTCAGGTACGAGTATTTGTCCAACATGGGTGTGTCCATTCTTTTTCAAGTTTTGACATATATTCGAAGAGTCTTTAGAAGGTCATATCCCATACCCATGTTAGACACAGTTGTCGTGGGTATTTCAAGAAGACTGGAGAGCTGGAGCAACATAGGCTCTTACCATAAAACAATTTACTAGAGACACCGGGAACATACAAAGTGATTGGTCCCCTATGAACAAGATATTTCATATCAGCAAAATAAGGAATCTGACATACCGTTTCTTCACTGCTGCGTTTAGGAAATCTTAAAAGATCCGGTTGACTTGTGTTGCTTGATGCATGGCAATCTTTACTTCCTTCTTGACAAAGCTGAACATCAAGCCACGACTCTTTTACCTGAAACAACTTCTCAAACTAAATTTTCAAGGAGGTGATCATAGAAAATAAACAAGTTAGTCTTATATCATTGGCATTAATTTACTTGTTGGGGTAATAATGGATTGTTAAAAAGAGAGTACTATCTGATGTTAATTGCAGGACCAAATTCCTCCACTGGAAGATCTTTCAACATTACGTTCACCTACACCAGTGCATACTGTATTCCTTAGAATTATAGGTTCTCATGCTAAAAATAAAAGCATCGTCTCATAACAGAACCCTGAAGAAGTGTAGCTCGATCAGAAGAAAACTGAATGATCGTCAACTTTAAAATTCTAAAAAAAATGACAAAGGAGTTGGCAAGAAGTTGGTAATATGCATTATGGTCATAGTTAGGTGTTGGGAAATAAACCTAGTAAAGAGTAATTTCCCTATAACCAGATTAGTGAAAATGCGAAATAAAAGCGAAAAAATAATACCCGAAAAATTGATAACGGAGTTCAGCCAATTGTGTCTACGTCTCCGGACTGCTGCAGATCTTTTACTAAGAGAGAAAATTTACAGGTGTTTACAAAACACTCACTACTCACTACTCACAAGAAAACTCTCTAATTTTAGGAGAAAGAAATGATTTGGGATTTTGGGATGTTTGGGATGATTTTAAAGCTAAATAAGCTAGGGTATTTATAGTTGAAGCTTAGTGACTAATCTTTGAAAATACCCTAAAGTGCAATGACTAAAATTGCATTTTCCTCATTTTTATTTCAAACAAAGTGGCTGCCTAATTTTGAACAAATTAACAGCCCATGTTTTCTTCATTTAGCCGCCGGCTGCCACTAAACTTCAACAATTATGGCTGCCAATATTGAATATTCAACAATCTCCCACTTGAAGACAGATTTTAATCTGTCTTCACACTTCGATTGATGCAGCAGTATTTCTGGTCTTGTTATTCTAGATCTGCGTCAGACCTTCTTACTCCCTAAAGTCTGACACTCCTCGCATTGAACCCTTGTCATTGGAGTTCTTTGCGCCATCATGCATCAGCACTTTCTCATGGTAAAGTCCGATGCCTCTTCTTGCCTCCTCCATTCTAACACGAAGGTTGGAGTTTACTTCCCACCTTGCAAATGGGTAGTTTCTCCACGATTGCCTTGTCCCTCAACGTCTTGGCCCCCTTCGACTCTTGTCTATTAGTCTTTGAAGGATTGTTCCTCACTTGAAATCCTCGGTAAGCCCCCTCGATCCTGGGTTCGTCCTCTTCTCTTGACAACTCGATCTTGGGCTCATCCATCACCTTGGATGACTCGGCTCCCCTCGGGTAATTTTGCAACATTTTTGGCATCTTAAGTCTGCGCCCCCTCGTTTGCTCGACTCTTACCCTCGGCTTAGCATCTTTGACACTCTAACTTGTGCCAAGATTGCACACATCTTCCCCAGACGCACCATCTGGTTCATCATTGAGTGGATTTTCTCTGCCACTCGAGGAACAACATTCCTCTGACTTGCCTTCATCATGGAATCTCTTGCCGCTACACTTGGCTTTGGGCTTTGCTTTTGAAGTCTTATTCTTCTTGACTCCAAATTCTTTGATGGACTCGGCGGTTGTCAAGGCTTTAGACAACTCCTTGACTTCCCTTTGCTCCAACACTTTCTTCGCCCATGGCTTCAATCCGAACATGAAGGTGAAGAACCCATATTCTTCAGTTAAACTTGGGACTTTGAGCATGAGTCTTCTGAATCGGATCACATACTCCTTAAGAGTCCCTTTATGTCTGAGACGCCTCAACTTGGACCACGCCTCCATCCTGACATACTTGAGCAGACTTGCTCACTTTGCACCCTCAACTTGACAGCTTTATCTCTTGCTATCGCACCGGGTCCCTTCTTGTGCTCGACTGCTTTGACACCTGCAGTCTCGTCACGTTTTCTTCCGGGTTCGACTGTTTCAACATCAATAGCCTTGTCTCGTCTCGATCCTTGCTTGGTCGCATTGATCCCCTCAAATTGACCAAGTCTTTTTCCTAGCTTGGTAGCTTTAACACTTGCGACCGCGCCAATTCTCGCTACTTCTCCTTCTTCTATCATTTTCATGATGGTTGTAAGGCGACGCTTCTCTGGACATCCTCTAATCGAATGAGGACCATCACAGAAGTAGCATTTCAAATTTTCCTTACTCTCCTTCTTCTTTACACCGGACTTAGCCTTGCTATTCTTTCCCGATGACTTTCCTTGGCTACGAACAGTCGTTGGCTCACTATGGCCGTTCGAAGAGCTTTCTCTATCATTTCCCTGCTGCACCTTTTCCCAGTCTCCCCCATCGTTGCCACTATCTCTGGACATGGGTCTGGACGACACATATCTACTTGGCTTGTCACCTGCAAGCTCAGTCAGCTTTCCGGCTACAACTATGGTCACCGAAAGTCTCTGGGCATTTCTTTGCTCTTCCCCGAGCATCGCCCCTGGTCTAAGTCCTTCCAAGAAGGTCTTGAGCGCATTTCATTCACTCATTGCTCCCTTGCATATGAGCAACTCCCTCCAAAACTCATCAACTTCGTTTCTCAAAGCCATCGCTCCCACTCGAATCTGGCTTCCTTTGGATCGTTTCCGAAAATTCTTGCAAACCACCATGTATTAGAACACCTCCGTCGACAAATTCGTATCGCCGACAAAATTTAACTATTAACGTGAATAGTAACCTCGCAAAAAATTGACAAAATTCATAACCAAAAGCTCTGATATCAGTTGTTGGGAAATAAACCTAGTAACGAGTAATTTCCCTATAACCAGATTAGTGAGAATGCGAAATAAAAGCGAAAAAATAATACCCGAAAAATTGATAACGGAGTTCAGCCAATTGTGCCTACGTCTCCGAACTGCTGCAGATCTTTTACTAAGAGAGAAAATTTACAGGTGTTTACAAAACACTCACTACTCACAAGAAAACTCTCTAGTATTGGGAGAAAGAAATGATTTGGGATTTTGGGATGTTTGAGATAATTTTAAAGCTAAATGAGCTAGGGTATTTATAGTTGAAGCTTAGGGACTAATCATTGAAAATACCCTAAAGTACAATGACTAAAATTGTATTTTCCTCATTTCTATTTTAAACAAAGTGGCTGCCTAATTTTGAACAAATTAACAGCCCATGTTTTCTTCATTTAGCCGTCTGCTGCCACTAAACTTCAACAATTATGACTGCCAATATTGAATATTCAACATTAGGCCCATCTCACACCTCCCAAATCACTCAAAAACAGAATTCCAGGATGAGTTCTAAGGAATGTTCTGAAAATAGATTCAACTGTTGATTTGCACCGCAACAAAAAGCCCTTACCCACTAGCAGACAAGAAACTTTAAACGACCTGTAACCGCCACATTCATACGTCAATCCTTTATCATCTTAATATATCCTTAAATGGCGATAAAAAAAGCTAGCTTTTCAAAAGAATGTGAAACAAGACATTAAGCTTTTTAAGCATTAATTTGAAAGTCCATGAGAATGGATAGTGCAGCAGCTTCCACCAGCTCCTTGCATTTTATGTTGTAATTTAAAGTGATATTGGTTAAATACGTGTTCATTCAGTATAAAACTCAAACATTTCCCTGATAAATTTGGTGATAATAGATTTCAATCAATTAGACGCAAATCATCTGTTACATGAATTTTAACCATGACATATCCACGGAGAAAGAAAGAAAAAGTATTAAAGAGAACAATGTTGCAAATGTTACATACGCCAAACTTTATGTTACATCGACCATTTCCTTCATCCTAAAATTACCATGTTGCTAATGTTTGATGCCTATAATCCATATGAGATATGATCCCTTCACCTTACATGATTGAAAACTTCAGCGTTTCCATATCAAATTGATAAATATAATAGAAGTCTGACAGGCCTATGCAAAGATTGTCTTAAACTCTAATTATCTCATGATATAGAGCAATATTAACATCGAATCAACAGAATAGCTGGCACGGAAATACTTATTGTTTTATATTTTCTAGAAAACATATAATATTAATATAGCTACTGATATCATAACCGGTACACAATTACCAGGGGATTCATAGTTTCTGGTGGATCATAGAAAACCATGGCTTCCCGGAGTCGATGATGCTTCCCTTCAGTACCAGCGTACTGGAATGTAGTATGCACAGCATAAGGCTCCAGCCTAAATTGCTGATACATAGCCTGTCAATCGCATTAGGGCTTAAGACAGGCTTGTTGCATAACATATGCAGCTTCTCATTAACACATACAAGCAAGATAACTAAAGTTCAACAGGGCACACGTGTAAAATATACAAGTCAAAGAAACTAAGTTTAGAAAAATCAGTAAAACGAAAACAGAATGAGACTATCTAAATTGCTGAAAACGAGCATACGGATCCTCCCTGAACAAAATAAGCATGTCCACTACAAAATATACTTTCCGGAAGAATTCCCAGCTTGAGATTTCCATCATAAGTATAAAAAGTCCACTCTCATCATCAACTGCTGGCCCTGTCTGCCTACGTACAAGGTCATTAAATCCATTATGATCCCATATTTTATCATCAGCTAAAAGCATATCTTTCCACTCTTTTGCCAGTTTTATTGCAGGCTTTGTTGGGCGCCAGTGGAAATTTCCTATATTGTAGGCAGCTCCAACTGTTTAAGGAAAATAAAGATTTAGTTTTAACCGAAGGAGTTATAATAACAGCCATTAATGGTTCAAATAAGAAAGCCATAAATGTAAAAAATACTAGTCTAACTAGAGCACTAATAGAATGCTTGTATATCGTAGTACCTAGTGTCCAGTCAGCCAATCTACCATCAACAACTGTTGGCACAACTTGGTCACTTGAAGTTAAGACGTCTGCGTCTTGGTATCGAGCAAGATATGGAAGTGGATCCTTTTAAAGGAGCATTAAATATGAAGCATGATTTTCATGTATATTTTGAGCGACTATAAAGTATCATGTGGTAAAATACAATGAGCTAATTGCATTGAGTTTCCATTCTATAAAAAAAAGAGTATATATAATAAGGCAGCAGAGTAAGTAAACATAACACAAGCCACAGATAATGCAAAATAAAAAAGTTCAAGGAGCGCAACATCTAGGAATAGCTAAAGCTAATATCATCACTAAAATTTTAGTTCTTACAGAATCAAAGAAATCTATATTCCTCCACATGATAAGTATCATATAAACAATAAAGAAACACTTGTGCTAGAGAGGAACAATCAAGTATCAGACAGAGAACAGTAATAATGCT